GCACTCGTTACAAGCGCCACTCGCTCGAGTTTGCGCTCGTTACAAGCGCCACTCGCTCGTGTTTTCCACTCGTTACAAGCACCAGTCGTTCGTGTATGGCACTCGTTACAAGAGCCACTCGCTCGAGTTTTGCACTCGTTACAAGAGCCACTCGCTCGAGTTTTGCACTCGTTACAAGCGCCACTCGCTCGAGTTTTTCACTCGTTACAAGCGCCACTCGCTCGAGTTTTGCACTCGTTACAAGCTGTACTCGCTCGAGTTTTGCACTCGTTACAAGCGTCACTCGTTCGAGTTTTGTACTCGTTACAAGCGCCACTCGCTCGAGTTTTGCACTCTTTACGAGCGCCACTCGCTCGAGTTTTGCACTCGTTACAAGCGTCACTCGTTCGAGTTTTGTACTCGTTACAAGCGCCACTCGCTCGAGTTTTGCACTCGTTACAAGCTGTACTCGCTCGAGTTTTGTACTCGTTACAAGCGCCACTCGTCTCGAGCTGCACTAGTTACAAGCGCCACTCGCTCAAGTTTTGCACTCGTTACAAGCTGTACTCGCTCGAGTTTTGCACTCCATTTCGATAAAGCTATAGCGGTACCGTGTCGTTTCCCTCTTCCTTCACTCTTTCTTTCTCATACGTAACGCGAAAAAATTTTAACTAAATCTTATCTGAATAGAATTTGTATGTATATGAATATGTATATGCATGTCGATAAGTATGTATGAATGCAGTATGAGTAGTCGATATATTAATGCTAAACAAATTTGACTTGTTTTGTTGTTTTGTTTTTTTGGTTTAAGTAACTTATTTAAGTTGCTATTCATTAATAGTTTAGTTAAAGCCACATTGATTAATATTTAAGTGTTTGTCTTTTATTTTATTATTATTATTTTTCTTTTCTTTGTTTTTTGTTTTTTTTTTATTTTTGTTTTGCTAGTCGATTTCTGCTAGGCAAATTGCTAATGCAAAAAGTATGCCTGGTGTTTGCTTTGCATTCCCCTCCACATTTTTCTCCACTCGATCTCGATCTCTGCTTTTTGTTTTTGGATTTTTTTGGTTTTTTTTTACATAACTACCACATGTATATATATTGTAGTTTTAATAGGCTTTGTCTTATTATTTGTTTTTGGTTTGTGTATATGTATGTGTATATATATATAATAATTTTGAGAGTTTTTGGCTCGCAGTCTTTTCGGGCTATAATTATTTAATATTTTCAACTTGCACCATTTTGCAATCCAGTTGGGACTCTGACATTCTAAATGATTATCAAGGAAATACTCTTTTAATTGTCCTGGTATTTGTCTAGTTACGATTAATAATTCACTTACGTTTAACGACAACACTACCATAAAGGATTTGGTTTTCTTTTAGTTGAGGATTGCTTATCAATTTTCAATTTTGTCTAAGTGTACATACATTTATCGATTTGCACGATTTTATTTAACTAACAGTTACAGTTACAGTTATAGTTACAGTTACAGTTACATTTCCTATGCAGCTGAGAACACGATTTGGTTGTTGTTTTTATTTCTCTTTTATATTTGTGGGAGGTAGTTTCAGTATTGTGGCTGCCATAAACACGAGGTAGTTGCGGTTCAGTATTCTGTTCTTTTTCCTTTTTGGCAACAAATATTTTTGTTTCTATTCATTTCAGCTGGATTTTGTGGACCAAAAGAAGCTTTCAAAGCATAAGCAAATTAAACAAATGCAAGAAGGCAAATAAAAAATAATGTGCGCACAAAAGTAGGCAGCACTATTTAGACAAGCGCTAAATGCCCCCAACACACACACACACACACACACAGTTGCACACATGAACACACACACAGACACACACACACACTAGCAATGCAAATTCCGTAACAGCAGTTGCCTAATATGTTGCAGCAGTCTTTGACATTTACAAAAGGGAAGTCAAGTTAAACAAAAGGACGACAACAAGGACCTGCTACAGGCAGGGGAGACTGTGTGAGCCTACAAAATGTGCGTAGCTCGTGTTGGCCATAAAAAACCAGGGCCATGAAAATACATAGAGACAAACACACAAAAAGTGAGAAGGAGAAGTAGAGTGAGAGTGAGAATTAGAGAGAGAGAGAGAGAGAGAGAGAGAGTGAGAATGAGAGAGAGAAAGAGAGCGAGAGCTTGAGTCAAAGAGAAAGTGAAAGTGAGCGCGCCGCATCAGCTGTGCGCATTCTGCGTGGAAAGCGAAAGTGAAAGTGGAGAGGCAGGCGCAAAGCAAAAGCAAAAGCAAAGGCAAAGCATAAAATGCCGTTAAAGGATAGATACGGATAGATAGTGTTAGACATAGCTCGTATTTGGATTCGTATTCGTATTCGTATTCGTCCTGGGTATGAGGTGTGTAAAATCAATACGACGCCTCACTTAAAGCCTTCTTAAATAGCCAATAAAATAAATGCAAATTTTATGCGTTCCGAAATCGAAACTCAATGGCCTGGCACCAGGTAGTCTCTACCTGACACAACCAACAACAATTTCTTGTTTTAAAAGAAAAGTGGGAAAAATTCTTTTTTTAAGGGAAGTGCGCGAAATTAAGGCATTGAATTGTTAGAGAGATTTTGTGGGTGAGGGGTGCTGCATTACATAGAAGACCTGCGTGTAAATAGATGTCGTCTGGATATTTATGATTACAATTTGATGGCTGCTCTGCTGCGGCTTTCGTTGCTGTTGCTGTGTATTTATCAATACACTCTCACGAAAATGGGCGACAGGCACGCGACAAACACAAACACACATAACAAAGCTTAATTAAAGTCACAATGAATAATATGTTGGGGTCGGCACCACGCACCACGCACCACCCAACAAGGAACACTCACGCAAAGTGGGTCAGTGCGTGGTCAGTATTTATGAAAAATCAATAACACTTTAAAAGCATAAACCAAATAAAGTAAACAAAATGATTAAGTTATTATTTTTTTTTTTTCTTTTTGATTTTTGTTGTTTCTTTTGTTTTGTTTTTTTTTTCATATTTGCATAAAAGTGTGCTTAAGCCAAAAAAAGAAAACTAAAGTTTAAAATAAAAACTAAACCGAAAGCTTCCCAAAGTGCATTTGTATAAGTTACGAGTTTGTGGAACAATCGACTCAATTGTTGATCCATGTTGCAGTGTGGCTTTCTGTACAAGCCCCAATATGGGATATGGACTCAAGATCTCTTTGCCAAAAATCTCGTTAATGGCATACGTATAGTAATAACTGTATATGTCTGTTCTTTATCTGAGCTACGCTGCGCTAGGAAACGACTTAAAATCTTACTTAATTTTCGATTTCCTTTTTTCTTGTTGCTTGTTTTAATTGCTAATAGTTTGCTTAAGTTTTATGTATATGTTTTTTGTTTTTTGTTTTTTGTTTTTTTAGCGTGTATTGTATGTCTGTAGATCTGTAACTATGTAACGCTGCCTACAGACTGCTTTAGTTTTAATTTATTTTAGCTAGTTAATAGTTTTCAAATTGGTTTTTTCTTTTTGTTTCTTCTTCTTGTTGTTGATTTTCTTTTCTTTTCGTTTCGTTTTTTTTTTTTTTTTTTTTTTTTGTACCATCAGCGCTCGAATTTCAAATTTGTTACTTTTTCGTTTCACAATGTTTGCAATTTACAGGGTATTCTACACTCTCGTTTCTCCAAATTTTTCGTTTGTTTTTGTTTTTTCAACACAAAGTGATCAAAAAAAACCGAATTCGAATCAAAACGCTAACAATTTATTTTGCTTCTTTTTGTTTTTTTTTTTGTTGTTGTTTTAAATGAATTCTCGCTCTATTTAAAAGCTGGCGCTGCTTTTGCCTCAGTCCAAAAAATGCTTACACATTTAACAAAAATTCCAAAATGATAATTAAATAAAGCAAAATGCTATCACAGTAAAAATTAAAGAACAAAAACAAAAGTAAACTTAATGTTGCCATATTTAAATTTTTATCGTGTTTCTTCTTTTCGAACATTTTTATTTCGTTTTTTTATTTTTTTTTTTTTTTTTTTTTTGTTTATTACTTTTTTGTTTGATGTTTAGTTTGATTTGCGAGTTGGCTGCTGTTGTTGTGATGTGGCTGTAAGTAGCACAAAACGCTCTCGACTTAGGTAAACTAAGGTCTAGCTTTATTAAATGTATGTGTGTGTGTGTGTGTGTGTGTGTGTGTGTATGTATATAGTATAGGTATATATTTACAATAAAATTATATATGCTCAACAAAATATAACAACATTTGGCTTAAAATGAAATCAACAACAGAAAGAAATAATAATTAAAAATTATTACAAATTAAAAGAGAAGAAATAAAAGTGGGGAAATCAAAAAAAAAAAAAAGGAAAAAGAAAAAAAAAAGAAAGGGAGAATATCGCTACAACTGAGGCTTACACTTAGAGTAGTTTCAATGATGCATTAAAAATGACGACGTCGCACTATTTTAAATAGTAGTCTACGAAAATTTATAATTTTAAAGTCCACACGGCTGCTGTGGCTGCGCAGCACTTAAACAACTAGACTAAACATTAAGCAATAACTCTATAAACTAGTTACTATGACTAACTACTTGACTAATATAGTATATATATATATATATATATATATATATATGACTATAACTAATGCCCTGACTGGCCGTGGCATTCATCCAATAAACATGTTGCTTTGCCTTCTGTGCTTGGTGTCTAAATCCAAGCAGCATCGTGTTGCAAGCAGCATTTTCTGGTGTCTGTCAGCGGCTGTCGCTTATGGTTAGGTTTAATTGGGGAGGGTTGATTGGGGGTAGGGGGTAGGGGTGGAGGATTGGGTTGTCTATAAAATCGATCCATTTACAAAGTACAAATTGTAGAAATGGGCTTGTCCGTTTCAAATGTACAACTGCTTGCAATTAGCTAATTGATTGTTGTGAGGCGTAAGTGCATAAGGAAAGTAGTCCTTGTCCATGTCCATGTCCATGTCCATGTCCTGGTCTAGACCTTGGCCAGCTGCTTCTTGGGCCGCATGGGCACAATGCAATAGCCGGCACTTACATCACGTCCGCTGACCAACAGATTCTTAAGCACCGAATTTGACTGTTGTTGTTGCTGTTGTTGCTGCTGCTGCTGCTGCTGCTGTTGTTGTTGTTGCTGCTGGTGCTGTTGTTGTTGTTGCTGTTGCTTCTGTTGCTTGGCCTCGGCTGTTGTCCAGCGTTCGCTTGATTGCCGCTTCGTTGCCTGTTGCTGTTGCTGCTGCTGCTGCTGCTGCTGCTGCGTCTGCTGCTGTTGTTCCTTGCCCATTAGCTGCTGCAGCAGCTGTGAGGATTGCACCTCCAGCGTCAAGGTGCCGCTCTTCAGGCGCTTTGTTTCCACTGGATTGCCAGCTGCAGCTTGACTGCTCAAATGACGCTTGTTGCCATGTTGCTGCTGCTGCTGCTGTGGCACCATAGTCTGCATTAGCGTTGTCTTTGTGGGTGTTGCATTTAACTTGCTCTCGACCAGGCGTATGGTTGCCTTCGAGCAGTTTAGTGACCGCATTGCTGTCAACTTGGACGGCAGCAACAGTTCCTCCTCCGATTGTTGCTGCTGCTGCTGCTGCTGCTGCTGCTGCTGTTGCTGCAACATTGCTGACTTGTTGTTTTGAATAGTTATTAATGGCACGGCATTTAAAATAATATTCTGCTGTTGTTGCACATGCTGCTGCTGCTGCTGCTGCTGCTGCTGTTGCTGCTGCTGCTGCTGCAATTGCAGTGTTACCACTTTGCTGGGCGCTGGCGATACAGCTGGACTGCTGCTTGCACCTGCCACATTGATTTGCAACAACTCGTCCCAGCAATCCAAATTGGCTACAAGAAAAAAAACACATCATTTTGATATATTTATGCATAATGAAATATAAATCGAAGAAATAATATATACAGCAACACTTCAACTTGGATATTCAACACAAATACACTGACACAAAATGTGTGCTATTGTATTGATTGTATTGGTGTTGAGCCAAAGCAAACAGACGAGCAATTAATTCTTTTGCCCATGACATTGATGCTAATATTAAAACAATCATAATCTTCTTTCTATATGCACAAATGTGTGAATATCTTTTCCTTTTCTCGTCTGTGCCAAAAAATAAAAAATCTGTTTATAAGAAAAATATATGTACATATATATATACATATATAAATATATACTTTTTTTCTTTTGTTTTTGTTTTTGTTTAGATAGCTACTTTATGCTAGGCATAAACATTTACTCACACACTCCACGGGCAACAGGCCCTGTCCATGTGTCTAAACAGGCGACAGACCTCAGCCAGGGGCATCAATCAAAGTTGCCGCTCTGACATGTGTCAAAGGTAAGAGGCGTGTCACCACACACCACCCCCTCATTGGTATGTGTAAAAATTACATATTGTTGCCCCACAGTATTCAATGGTAATTGTCGCCAACAATTTTGGCTCGAAAAGTCAGCATCAATTAACTCAAACCCAGCTACTGGCAGCCAGCAGCCAGCAGCAGACTTTGTTGCGAGAAACAACAACAAAAACAACAAAAAAAATGTGAACATTTTCTTAATGTTTTCATCTATTTTTATGCACACAAACACACTCATATATATATGCATATATAGTGTATATATATAATTATATAGATATGTGCTGAAGTCAAAGCATCTGGGCTATTTATAATGCCGCACGGCAAACTTAAATTTAGGCCTCTCCAAATGCAGTAAATAGTGGAAAAGACCAACACAAATTGTCAACAGTGGGAAAATTGTGTATGGGGCAAAATGGGAAAATGGGAAAATGGGAAAATTGAAAAAAACTACATAATTAGCTTGGCAGCAGGCTGTCTCTCGTCTGTTTGGCGTAGGTGTTGCTGTTGCTGATGCTGTTGCTGTTTGCCATGAAAAATGATTGGAAAACTATCAAACTATTTGTTCGATTTTCCATCTGCGCATTTCTCAACACATTTCCTACATAATTTCACTCTTTCCAGATATACTTACAATCTTTGCTGTAGTCATTGTCGAATGGATCCTCGATGGAATGACATAAGCTGGGCGCCAATGACACATCATATTTCTCCTTTTTACACTCTATGCTAAGTGTTAACAACTGTTGCTGCTGTTGCTGCTGCTGCTGCTGTTGTTGTTGTTGCTGGCGCTGTTGCTGCTGTTGTTGCTCCTCATCCTGCAGTTGCAACTCCTGCTGCAATTGCTGGAAACCGCGAAAATCACTGTTCACCTGCTGCTGCAGACGATCCTCGCCAGATGAATTGCCCAGAATTGAAAGCGTTCCATTGCCAGTGCCACAAAGCAAAGCTGCCAGCTCCCTTGAGCCAGTGGTATAAGCACTTGACTGTTGTTGCTGCTGCTGCTGTTGTTGCTGCTGTTGTTGCTGCTGCTGTTGCTGCTGGCTCTGCTGCTGCTGCTGCTGCTGCTGATGTTGATGCTGCTGCACAGGCGATGGCGACAGCGAGGACACCGTGGATGCGGGCGACGAGCAAAGCGAATTGGAAAAGTGCTGCTGTTGCTGTTGCTGCAGTGGCTGTTGCTGATAGCTGCCATATTGATGCATCTGCTGCTGTTGCTGCTGCAGCTGCTGCAAATGCTGATGTATGCTATCAATATCCTTCGGCACCATTGTGGGCAAATCGGCACTGGAGCACCACATGAGATCGCTCTCCGTCAGCAGCGGCATATCATCGCCCATCGGTATATAAGGGGCACGCAACCCATAATCCACAAACGCGAAATCATCCTCGGTCAGCGAGTTTGGACTGCACAACGAGGGCAAACTGCTGTCTTCGGGACTCTGGAAAAAAATGGCGAATGGAATTTGATTACATTATTATTGTTGTTGTCGTTGTCATTGTGCGATTTGCTATATAGATTTCAAAAAGGGATTTGTTTTTTTTTGTTCATAGTCTACACACCTTTGATGTAACGCTGGGCGAGTGCAGATGCTGCGAGCAGCTGGTGTCATTCGATTCATCGCGATAGTTGAACAGCGGATCGATGTTGCTGCAACTGTTGCTGTTATCCTGATGACTGTTGTTGTTGTTGTTGTTGTTGTTGCTGCTGCTGGTGCTGCTGCTGTTGCTGCTATTGCTGTTGCTATTGCCTGCTGTTGCTGTTGTGCTCAGAGACTGGCGATTGCTGTTGCTGTTGTTGTTGTTGTTGCTGTTGCTGTTATTATTGTGGCTGCTATTGCTGCTGGCATAGTGCTGGGCACTGGCTGTTGTGGAGCAGGTGGTCGAGTCCAGTGAATTGATCTCTTCGGGCATCGGACAGAAGTGCATAAAACCAAGTATCTCGCCAAGGGGCGCCATGTCGTCCAATGGAATGCTGCCGGTATTGGCCAAATGATGGGACAAATCATCGGGTTCCTCTTTCAGCACTACACACACACACGAAGAGCACAACAAATAAACGAAAATAGATATTGTAGTTTGAAATTGTTGCATTGTTTATAAATATATAAATAATATTTTTTTTTAGTAATTTATTTTGGACGCGTGTGCAGCAAGTTGTCAAAAGGTGTCAAAACTTGGCGCTAAGTGCATATGCTGCTCGCTCTATTGAAAGGAAGGGAAGGAGGAGAAGGAACAGAAGAAGAAGACACTGTTAATTAATGCCAGAAGTCAGCAGACACCAAGCTAGACTGTACTGGCGCCACTGACTATGGCTGGCACCCGAAAATAAAATTTCATTTCTTCAATTGACAGCTTCCAATTGAGACTAATTGAAGTTGCTCTCGCGCTCTCTCTCTCTCCCGCTCTCTCTCTCTCTCTCTCTCTCAATGTCTCTCGCTCTTTTCAATTCTTGTTTCTTTTTTTTTTTTTGGTGTAGAATTAGTTGATTTATGTGCTACAATTGCTTGGGCTTGGGCCATGATTTTAATGGCCTTTTGACAGCCTTTCGTTTGAGCTATTTTTTGTTTGTTTCAACTTTTTTTTCCCCGTCTCATTAATCAGCGCATCGGAAAAGTTTTGCTAATGCTGATAAGGAGTAATCTTTGACGTAGACGGCATAGAAATGCAACTGCGGCGAACAGCAATGTAAAATGTTATGCACTTGGACCGAGTAGGCAATCTAACCCTAACTCGAGTCAAGGCCCCAGAACCGCAAGATGCGCCAGCTTATCGCATCCCGAGATTTGGATGCGCGTCACGAGCAACTTCAGTCAACAATCGTGTCATCTACATACCATATAGGTATACATATATATAACACATCTATCTATAAACCCCCTATAAAAATATCTATATATAATATAATATAACCGGTATGATCAGGTAGTACATAAATATCAAGTCGTGTGATATTTGTTGCATTGCTTACTGTTTACTCATCTAACTATATTAATATTATATATATATATATTTATTAATATATATAATTATAACTTGTTCACAACTGTCAAATTCCGATTGTAATTTGATTTCTAAATCTTATTCTTAGTTCAAGTACTCTGCACACAAAAATAGTGCACTTCTTCTAATAAAGTCCAAGCACCATTTGATAATATTTGATTTGTCTTTTTCTTTTTCTTTTTTTTTTTTTGACTGATTGCAATGACAATCAGAATTAAGTGCAACTCACAATTGCAGCTAGATAAAGTCGAAGTTTATATTGACATACATAAAAAACTATATATGTAATGAAAAAGATTTGCTACGATTATGTGCCACAATTTCCTATATAAAATATTATTATTATGCGAAGTGTATTTAATTACAAGTCGACATTAGAATATTGGAAAATATTTATATACAAAATTAGTAAATAGACTAATGGAAAATAGTCAAATTCAAAATCAGTTTTCTTCTAATAATGTCTATATATATAAAAGGCAGTGAAGCATCTCGTTCTAATCGCAACCAACAAACTGATAAAGTTATATTACCCCCATTGCAGTGGCATTAAAAGAAAAATAAAAAATAAAAAATAAATAAATAAAGTAAACAAGAAAAACAGCTGAGGGCTTTGGCAAACGATCTGATCCGCACTGCAATTTTCACATATCTATATAAAAAGTCATACAAATATACATATATATATATATATATATAACGATGTACTTGAATTGCTATATAGATGCTGTCTCGCTTGCACACAGCGCTGACAGCCGTGGCACAAACAAATTAATTAACAATGCAAACACAAATAGCAAAGGGTGGGGTTACAGGTGGGGTACAGGGGATATGGGGGATATAGCAGCTCGTACCTGAACCCCCACGGGGCGTCTTATAATTATGGCACACTGGTGATACTCGGACGACACAGAGAAAAACAAAAACAAGACTAAATTAACAACTGAAATTATGGCAGGCGATAATATAAAAAGCGAACCTCTTCTGCTCTAAGTAGCTGCCACACACACACACACACACACACGCACACGCACACACACACACACACAGTCAGGCCTAGAAATTCAAGTGCTTATTCGAAAATATTTGCCAAGCTCTTTTTTTTTTTTTTTTTTTTTTGTCTACTCTATGGTGTAAGTGGGAGATGCAAGGTTGAAGAGGCCTAAAAAAAAATATTAAAAAAAAAAAAACTATAAATGCACTCAATGCAAACGTTTTGTTAGCGGCTAAATGGCAAAGCGGGTCAGTGGATGGGGTGAATGGGGTGTAGAAGGGTTAGTATTACAATTTACAAGGTAATTAGTTGATCAGTGAAACATAAAAGTGACTGTCGCCGCATCTCGTGACTCGTGCTTCAAATAGCAGCAGCCAGCAGCAGCAGCTGTTGTTGCAGCTGCACTTGAGCCACATACGATGCACTTGAAAACTGATTCGAAAGTTTTTCTAGAATAACGAGCACTCGTTATAGTAAAACACACACATAGACAAGTGTGTTGCCCAACTCGTGACTTGGCTTAACACAGCACTCAACACTCGACACAGTTTCAATTTAAATAAATCATCATAATGATGATGATGATGATGATGCTGCTGCTGATGATGACGTAGTTTAATGTCGCATCCCAAAATCAAAATTCCAAATATGTAAATCAGAAGAGAGAAGAGAGCAGAGAGCAGAGAGCAGAGAGCAGAGAGCACTCAACACTCAAGTACAGTGAGTACCTAAAAACAAAAACAAGACAATCTCCTCTGGTCATTCTATATGAAAAGGCAGATTTTGTTGTTGTTGATGTTGTTGTTGTTTTTTTATACCCATCCCCGATCAGTCCCCAAGCGTAAACTCGGAAGTATTCCCGAGGTCGAGATTAGGCAGCCACTTCATGTTGATTCCAAGTGCGTGTAGACTGAGACACTATTGGCGCGTGTGTGTTTTTTTTTTATTTTGGATGCGGAATTGGAGAGATACTACGAGCAGATAAGGGTAAAAACAGTTGAAAACAAAAATTGGCTAACTCAAGCTCGAGAATTAAGCGATAGTTTTTACATAATTTTGACTATAAAGATTGAGAGAGAAAGATAATTACAAATCTGTTTATCTTGTTTAAGTACAAATTGTGGCATTATTGACTCGACTCATCGCCTGATCAAATCCAAAATCAAATACTAAATATATATATGCTATATCATCCATAAGGAAAATAAATATAGTAAGTGCCTCCCTATTTATTTATGTTACACTAAAACCAAAATAAATATAGACACTTTGAAAACAAAAAAAAACAAAAAGAAAACAAAAAAAGAAAAAAAATACACAGATAGAAGCAAACGAGAGAAGAGGCGAACAAAAATCTGAAGTATCTGCGGCATCGGCAGCCAGCACAAAATGTCAACAGAAAGCAAGCACAGCCAAAGAGGGAAAAAACAAAAAATAAAAAAAAATATATTAAAAAAAAAACGGGAGAAAAAACGAACCAATTGTCGATAAGAGACAGTTTCCAAGCGAGCTGCAGCAGCAGCAGCAGCAGCAGCCATAAACAGAAATACACGCGCCACCCAAAAAAAAAAAAAATAAAATAAATATATAGGAAAACGAAAAGGTTGTTGTGGTGGCCAGAGGAGAGGCTGTGGCAGCTGTGGGAGCTGGAGGTGGTGCTGGTGGCTGTATTGCGTGGGCGACGGTGGCTGTGTGGAGCGGTGTCGACGACACATGTCACTCAGAGGAGAAGGAGGCAAGCAACACTTGATCCATGGCCAACCGAACCTTGGCACACGCGCCGACAACTGGACAGCACACCAGACAGTCTCAGTCACATATCACTTAACATATTAATTGGCTCAAGTTAATATTCACACACACACACACACACACACACACACACACATACGTAGTCACACACCGAGAGATAGTTAACGCTATTGCGTGAAATATGCAAAAGTTCCCAGAAACACAAGCAACCAAAGAGATAAGCTTGTATCTCAATATTCAAGAAATACCCACATGTTTTTATTAGGAAAAAAAATGAGCTGCAAATTCTGGTAATTTATGGTTTCTTTAAAAACAATAATAATCATAATTATACAATTGTTCGTCATCTTTTTATGTGAGCTAAACGATTTAGAAATGGACCGATTCCGGGTATATGGAAAAAACTCCACTAAACATAATCCGTAAAACTTTAAAGTTTTTTATTTAAACAATCATAAAAATTATACAAATTTGTAAGCATCTGGATTCAAGTAAGAGAAAACAATAAATCCGAATTTCGTATAAGAAATGATGTTGTTTTCCAAAATATATATAAAGAAAAAAAAAAACAATAAAATTCTACTTGGAGAAATTTCTGCTTCAGTGCGTTGCACATCTACCGATTAAATTTTATACCCTCATTAAAATATATAAAGGCTTCAAGTTCAAGAGAAAAAGCAAACAAATTAAATACGAAATAAACATATATATAAATAAAATATTTAAAAATTCTACTACGAAAACTTAAATAGTAAATAGTTTCTGCTTCACTGCGTTGCACGTAAACTAATTAAATAATAATACTCTCTCAGGCAGGGTATTTAAAAAAAAATAGTGGCTTTTGTGGGTTGCACATGGCGTATGCGTAATAGTAGGACAGCATTGGATATACGACTATGACAGCTAATAAAAATATAATGTGCAATGACGACAACAATAAAAACAACAAGAAATGCAAATAATATAAAAATATATAAGCCGGCAGATGCTGATTTACACACATATATAACTATATACATATGTATTTATATATATGTGTGTGTGTGTGTGTGTGTGTTTCAAGTATATATTATAGCTGAGTGTCAGGCAAGTTTGCAGCACTTTGTTTACAAAATGCAAGCAAAATGCCAGCAAAAACAAATATTTGTTGTTGTTATTGTTGATTTTGTTGTTGTTATTGTTGTTTTTGTTGTTTTTGTGCATTTGCTGTTTTTGTCTTTACAAGTATATCGTTTGATTTGCGCAAATCGCGACAACAAAAACGAAGGCGATAAGCAGCAAACGACTAACTTGTCGACTAACAAATTGACAAACTGAACGACTGACAAGCTGACAAACTGAACGACCGTTTGACGGCCGGTCAAAGCGACAGTCTGTCCAATCAAAACGACACCACATTACAACAATACGTCAAATCACATCAAATAGCCGCACGTCACACGCTTCTCCAACTTATTGCTGTTGATTTTTATATGGAATTCACTTAGAAGCGGGCACGACCAACGGGTATGAATATGCATACTATATAATATATACAAATATACATATATATAAATATAAATATATATATATATATATTTACACTATGCATATACCATATACCTGGTTACAAGTAATCGCCTGACTTTACACTTGCTCTATGGCTAATGCAGATTTCGGTTTATTCCCCTTCCTGGAAATTTCTGAGGTTTCAGTAAAAGAGCTATAGAACTATCTAAGCCTTTAAGCATTACGAATTGTGTGTAATTTAGAAGTTATTACGCCGATAACGTTTTATTTGATATTTAGAAGGTGTGTTTTTAAAGAAAGTCACACTGCATATTAATAATATGGGAACAATAACATATATGACAACTTTAGATTACATTCCGACTATTTCTGTTAGCTTCAGAATTACAATTAATATATAGAAAGAAAAAGAAAACAATCCAAACAATCTGGCATCATTTTCAAGAGAATCAAAGCCTTTAAATAAATTTCATAAATCAAAAATGTACACCAACTTTGAATGCATTCAAATACTTTATAATGGGAATAACCTTCAACTTATCACAGAAGCAACGGTCAATTTTGTCGTTTGTATTTAGCTTAGTAACAATTCAAGTAAAGTGTCGTATATAACATATATAAATCTTGCAAATTCCCATAAAAAAAAAACCACAGACTATTCTCTGTTGAAAGACTAAACAATAGAACCTTTGAAATGTAAGTGTGATTTTAGTTATCACTCCCGTGCCGGGGTCATTCGCTTATCAGTTTTTGCAATGCACTAGAGAGAAGTTATCTTCTGCTTTGGGTTGTGTTTTATTTTTGCGCACACCTTTTGGGTTATCAACTTGTTGTTAGTTAATGCACCGGTTGTAATCAATTGTGGGTTAGGTGTGAGCAGTGTTCTACTTACTTGTTAAGCCTCGGCCATCGCCAGCAAATGATAAGAATCCCTTATTCATATCTTGTGTTTGTTGTTGTTGCTGTTGCAATTGTTGTTGTTGTTGCTGCTGCTGCTGCTGTTGTTGGTGTTGTTGCTGTTGCTGCTGGTTGCTTGACGACAGTATTGCAGCCGTTGTGGTTGTTGTTGGCGGCAACGATTGCAGCACAGATGGTGCTGCTGCAAGTAGTGTTTTCTTGCCAACAACAGGTGGCGCTGTTGCCTGCGGTGTGATGCGTATTAGCGAGGCAGTCACCGATTTGGGACGTTTCTCTTCGAGACGCGGTAATTTGTTATTGTTGTCGTTGCAATTGTTGTTATTGTTGTTGTTATTGTTGTTGTTGTTGTTAAGACTCAAATTGGTAAGGAGTTGAGCTGTAATAGTACGCGGTCCTGGTGAATTATTTTCACGTTTGATGAGCAGCTCGGTTTGCAATTGTTGTTGCTGTTGTTGTTGTTGCTGTTGTGTTGCTGCTGCTGGTTTGTTGTCTAGAATTAAGGTGGTTGTTGGTGTTGTTGATATTGCTGGTGGGTTAGTTGCAGCAGCAGTTGCAGTTGTTGTTGTTGTTGTTGTTGTTGATGTTTTGATTATTGTTGTTGTTTCGTTTGCAGTCTCAATAACTTTGGGTTTGTCCACTAACTCTAAAGTTGTTGTTGTTGTTGTTGTTGTTGATGTGTCGGCAACAGTTGCTGTTTCAACGTTGCTATCGTTGCTGTTGTTGTTGTTGTTTGTTTCAGGTAGTTGTTGTTTGTTATCCTGCTGTTCCTCACTTGCCGCCGTTTGTTGTGCAAGTGAATAAATCTCATGTTTGTTCTCAAGATTACTGCAAAGGTGAACGCGATTCGCATTGATAATCAAATACAATAAGAATTTTCTTCTTCTTTTTGATTTTTCTTCTTTTTTTTTTTTTTGTTTTGCACTCGTTTGTTACAACACAGCCCGAAAACGAAAATCGCGCGTATTTCGTAAAATTTTCAAGTGTATTTTTATGAGCATATTTAAGTTTTTATATGCAATAATTGTGCTCAAGCAATTGTTAGTAATTATATATAATTATAGTTAAAAAGTTTGCCATTAATGAGTCTGAATTTGGAGCCAGGAGCTAAACGTGTTTCGTATGGAAAATTTCCGTGTGTGTTTATTTTTTATAGCGAGTTACGAAAATATGCTGAAATTGGCACGTTAACATGTCTAAATAACCCCAACCCCAGCCACAACAACAACCACAAAGCCAAACCGAATCCCTTTCCGCGCACTTTGCCCAACCCCCCTTGGACGGGTCTTATCAATATTCAGGGCAATACTTGACGTCGACATCGGCAGCGATAAGCGGCATTTGGTGGGTGTGTCTGGCAAGCTAATTGAAGTGATCCATATTGCATTTTTGCTCTTCTTAGCCCAGCTACTGATAAGCTATAGATCACGGCAACCAAGTTTTATTATATATAATTATATGTATATATATATAATTAATATAGTATATATGGTTTCTCGATTATGCAGCTGAATCTGGCTAGAAACATGAAATTCATTTGCTCTCGAGTGCTACTCGTCATCGACTTCGTCGTTGTCGTCGTAGTCTTGGTCATTGATAAGATAGAACGGTACAATCGGCCAACTCAACTCAATTCAACTCGAAACGGAACGGAACGGAACTCAACTCAACTCAATTCGGTTCGGCTCAGCTGTGTGTGCATGCACGAAGTGGATGAGCTTTGGGTTCGTAGCACGTGAAATGATCGTGCAGTTGCCGTGTTGTAGACACGCCATGGAATAATACCCCTCTCATCTATAGCCGACGTCTGATTCCAGAAGAAATAAACAAAAATAGCACACGCAACATGTCTGATATTTAGATAAAGAGGCCCAACAACAATATTTACAGTAACCGCTGGGAAATGAGAATATCGTGCGAAAATATATATGTATGTCCCGCAAGGAATGCAATAAACATTTTATTGCCATATCTTCCGTACGTTGGCAATTAGTTTTATCGAAAACAATGAATTGATCTATAGACATACGACTTTCAAAAAGTATAATTAAATGCAGATAATCGAAGTTAAAATGTATATTTTGAAAATGAATCGATACTTATAAACTTTTTATCATTTATATAAAAACTCTATTACAGTAATAATAGTTTTTCCTTTTCTTTTAGTCCAATTTCATATTTTATAGAATATTATAATTTTTATACAAATTTTAATCGTCAATTGAATAAAAAATTTAATTTGCCAAATAGTATATATCAAAGCAGAATATATAATCGTAGAATATTCATTCAAAATTCTCATATGGAAATCATGAAATAATAATGCAAAGCTTTCTCAGACTACAATTATTTTGCGACTGGAAATATGCCTCGAAACGAAACGTTTGAATTAGCGAGGGTGTACTGTAAATGACTTCATTGGAAAAATGATTTATAACTCAAACAAACAGTTTTGTTGTTGTTTTACTTTTTTGGGGGCTCGTCTGTCTATGGTGAAATAATAAGTAAAAAGTAATACGACGCAGATACTTTAGAATCGATTTTTTTTTAATGTTTTTTGTTTTGATTTTTTTTTTTTTTTGCCACTCAACATTTGTCAATCTCTCTGAAAATGACTGGCCCACTGCGACCATGGATACTGTATTCAATGTCAAATTGGGGTTGATGACAATTAAAAACGATGTAGACTTGTCTGCTGCTGCTGTTATTGTTGTTGTTGCAAGTCATATGATGCAGTTGCAGCCCACATGTATATGGAGAAGCACCCACCTGCATACAAACTAGAATTCGGACACACGTACAACATGTGAGAAGGAGAGGACACAGAGAGAGAGAGAGAGAGAGAGAGAATGTAGAAAGCCGGAAAGCAATCAATGGACAAAAGCATTTGCAACAATAACTACAAAAAAAAAAAAACTAACAAGCAAAACGAACAAGGCAGAACACACTTAAATAATTGCTTCATCTCTCTTTTTATGTGCGTTCGCGCTTTGTATTATTTTGTTTGCTGGTTGTAGCCGGTTTAAACCGCAGTCTAAAGCCCAAATTAAGCTTACATCATTTTAATTAAATTGCCGAATGAAAAAAAAAAACAAATACAAATACAAAACAGTAAGCAGCTTGCACCTACAGTTCCAAATGTCAATTGAGAATAATCTAAAGCGCCATTTGTATGCTTGTCAACCCTTTAAGCTCATAGTTAAAGCTTTGGTGTGACGAAAGCGCCACCTAACGAAACGAAATTGGAGACAGAGGGAAAGAGACAGTTTCAACTCTTGAACTCCGGTGTAAGTCGCAAGCCAAGTGAATACTCGAGTCAGTGTGTAGAAATTGATCGCGTGATATGAGTGCGTTCTCATGCGCTTGCTCTCTTGCACACACACTAACACAAGCACACACACGTGGACAAATAAATATGCACTCTCTCAAGTCGTAAAACATACTCAGCGGCACACTTTTGTGGCTTGCGAACAAAATGATATGTGGGCAACGGAAAAATTGAAAAGTGTCGTAAAAAAAAACCAAATCAAATAAACAAAAACAACAGATTACAAAATTACTTAAAAGTGCATTAAAAATGCAATGTCAATTGGTTAAGTTGTATTTAAATGCACACTTAAATATGTAATACATATTTTTCTGAATAATAATTAAAAATTTGAATAAAGTAGTTGCTGACCTGTAAGCTAAATGAAAGCAACAAATTGTATTGTGTAACAAACTGAGGCGAATAAAGCAAAACACAAACAGCGCCGAGATATACACAAGGAGACAGACAATCGCAAAAGTGACACGAGTGTGAGAGCAGGAGAGCATGAGAGCATGCGAGAGACCCCCACAAGAACAAAAAGAAAAAGAATAAAACAAATGCTTGAAACTGGCTGCTCTTGATTTCAATTGCAGAGCAATAACGGAGCAGTAGCAACAGCATCATGGAAACTCAACTCAACTCAACGTAAAATAGCAGTAATTGCTTTTGACGAATTTTTTTTATTTTTTTTGCTAGGGTCTGCCTGTGTGTGAGTGTAAATATGTGCGTCTGTGCACATAAAAGGCAATGTGTATTAAATTGAATGAAAATAAAAAAAGCAGTAGGCAAAAAAAGAGGAGGCTGGCTATAGAGCAGAAAATGAATTAACTAGACTATAAACAGCGGAAAAGAACAAAAGTGACACGCGCATTTTGGCAACACACAACACACAAACAAGCACACACATACATTGTCAAGTTGTATAATCAGCATATATGTATGCGTGGGTGGCGGGTATATGCAATGCACATACATAAATACATACTTATACACATACATATACCCATCATATGCAAAATTTAGATAGGTTTTTATGGCTATTCATAAGTCAATGCAATTGCTAATTAAGCTTCAATTCAATTAGTTTTCATCAACAAATTAAATCGCTCAGCAATTTTATGTAATGCAAATGCAAATTGCAGCAAACAATAAAAAAAAGTAAAGAAAAGAAAAAATAAAACGAAATGCCAAATAGCCAAAATAAATAAAATAAATGCGAAACAAAACTGAAACGCCACCGCTTTGCAGTGGGCTGCGTGTGTGTGTGTGTATGTGTAAGCAGTGAGCACTCCTCTCTTAGAGAGCGGTAGGCGTAAGTGCAGATGGAAAGAGAGAGTGAGAGTACAAGAGAGAGAGTGAGTAGGCAGATCGTGCGTTTCGCTGTGGGGGTCGCTCGACTGCGACGTCGGCATCTGCAGCGCCAACTAAAACGCAGATTGCAATAAATGTTTTCTTGTTGTTGTTGTTGCTGTGTTCTTCTTATTTTCTGCGGTCGCAACTACAACTGCCGCTGCAGCAGCGACGCAGCAACAGCAGCAGCAGCATTTTGTTTGTAGGTTAGGTGCGAGTGTTGTGTAAATCTTTTTTGGCTTGACATTTGCAATTGTTTATTAATTAATATGCATTGCGCTCTTATGATCGGTTCTTCTTTTTCTTATTATTATGGTTGTTGTTCTTGTTGATGTTATGGTTATTTGTTGTTCATTTTGTTATTATTTTCGATTTCGATGCCCGCGTGTAACAAACGTGCGCTCTTTTTTTTTAATTCGAAGAAAAAACAAAAAAAAAGTTAATTTGTCAGTTTTTCTTGTTTTGAAAGTTGAACATTTATTATTTGATAATCTTTTTGACACACACGCACACCACCCATAAAACATATATACACACACACACACTATATATATATATATATGTATATGTATATATAAATATAAGTGATGTATGTCCATGTATATGTGTATATATGTATATATATATATATAATCATAAATATATATATATATATATATATATATATATGTGCGTGTGTGTGTGGGTGTGTGTGTGTGTGTATTTTTTGTCGTTGTCAATTCCAATCCACGCATAATAAAAGTTTATTTTTGTCAAATATATTTTTTTTCCAATTTGCTTTTTAGTGTGAATATTTATGATTCTTAACAGATTTTGTATTTTTCCTTTTATATAGAAGAGGAAAACTTTTATTTCACGTTAGCAACACAAAATACTATAAAATTTTGGTTTATTCTTTTATCGAATTTTATGTAATTTCTTTAGATTTTTTTTATATTCTTTTCTTTTTGCAGTAGCGTAATTAAAACGGAAATTGGCATTTTGTATCTTAATCAATATAATAGTTGAATAGTTGTTGTTTTGCTGTTGATTTGTTGTCTTATCTTGTATTTTGTTACCTTTTAACTTTAACACATTTGAGTATTAATAATTATCAATTACAATTGATTTATTTGCTGGAAATGCAATCGTTTGAAATTTTTACTATTTACATTAGCGAAAAGTCAGC